TTTTTTTTTTTTCTTACTTTTAACGTATAAAAATCATTCTTGCAATTATGTCTACATATTTTGAAACATCTTCCATAAATTATGACATGGACACGTATTTTTTTTTGCTTTTTTGTGCTGAAGTCATTAAGTTTAAATCGTGAAATATCTTCTTCTTTTTCTTTTCCTTTTATTCTTCTATGAAATATAAAATAGAGAAAAGAAATCAGTCAGTATGGGTGTTGTTAAACGTTTTATCACGTGATAAAAACCACTTATATACAGGTTAATCTATAACACACGCATCCACATACACACACACGTACACATCTATAAGGAATATCGTTATAAAGTTGTGTTGTTTTTCCTCCAATAAACAATGTTTTACGTACGCCATGATATACGATGATAGTAGATACGATCGAGAAATGGTGGTGGGTGGGGATCAAAAAAGTCTTCAAAGAACACTTCAAAATGAAAGATTATAATTAATATGAAATCTTCTTTATTAATATTTTGTTTCTTTTATCACAAATTGTTTACATTTTAGATATTACCGAAAGAAAAAATTGTCCTATCGATGAATACTCGAGTAGATTTATTCTTATTTGAATAAATAATTAAATATGAAAGTGATCAATTAAATCGATTATTTTCATTTAAAATTCGAACATTTTATACTCAATTACACATAAGAAAAAATATAAAACTATATAATAATATGATTTAATTTTATTTTAATTTCTAATCAAAAAATTGTCTCATCGATATATAAATGCTCGATTGGTTAATTTTTATTTATAAAAAAAAAAATAAAAAATAAAATAAAAAAATGATCGGTAAAAAAGTTCAATCAATTTATCGTACCTTTGGTTTTTTTTCTTTCTTCTAATTTTTTTTATCAAAAAATCATTCCTTATTTCATTGTCTTATTATTTTATATATTTTACACAGATGTTATTACCCCACATTCATCCAATCTCGATTTTCTCTTTTATTCTCTTCAATTGTTCTCATACTTGTCTCGTATATTGGATAACATGTTATATACCGATATGTGTTTACATTCTATTAATACCAGTAAACGATTTCATGGGTATGCTGTCGTTCTGTATATATATATATATTATAACATACTTTTATAATCGAAAGTCACATTTTTATCGATACTTCAAAATTCGTGCCTGCATGCCTGACTGCATGCTTGCATACCTACGCCTCTGTATATTTTTCTTTATTTTCTTTTTTTTATCAATAAAAAGAAGGAAAAATATGTCACAAAAGGGAAAATATTTAAAGTTAACTATCATCATTGTTTAACGAGTATGTTTATTCAGGAGATCGATTAATTAACTAGGGGTTGGAAAAACTTGTTTATGTATTTAAAAAGATCGTTCAAAGTCACGAACACGACAGAAGAAAAATAATTAATTAATAATAGTCATTAAGAAATGATTGTTATTCTATAATATATATATATAAAAACAAAAATAAATGTACATGTAGTAATGATTAAACAAATAACTGAACTTTTATTCTTTTATGTCTAAGTATTTCGTTTGTATTCTTTTTTTAAGAATTGAACTAATATTTAATACTTTACTATAGTATACACTGACCCCCTATTTTGCTATACTGTATTCATGGTTTGGTCAATATATAAAATATAAATAACATAGAAATTTGTATTATTTTATATTTAAATAAACGGTTATTATAAAACAATCCTAATATTGTACATTTATTGTACATATAATGTATAAAAAAATAAAAATTAATTCAACATTTATTCATCATCCCAAATATTTTTCACATTTGATATATATTTATATATATATATATATATATTCGTTTTTCTGTTTCAGGTGCGTGAGGAAATAAATCGGTGGTAAGAAAACCAAACAAAAGTCATTTCGTTAATATAATAACTTGTGAACAGAATCTTTCTCAAAAATAATTTTCATTTTGATTGAAATAAAATAAACTGATCTTATTTCATGTAATTCTCGTCTTTTAACGAGCTAAAATTTGTAATAAATCCAAGAAAAACTAGGAGAAAGGAAAATGTCAATTTTACAAAACACTTTTGAACACAACGAAGGTTCAATTTCACTTTTTAATAGAAGTTAATTGAATTAGAACAATGATCGACCGAGTTTATTGTTTAATTGATTGAGCAAGTTAAAAAAATATTGTTTTTTTTTTCAGGTTTAACACTTAAATAATAATTGGTTTTTAGGTTGAATTTATATATATAAGAAAAAAATAATTCAAAATAATATAATTGAAATTTTTAATTGTTCTATTTTAGCATTTGAACAAAATGTTTGAACAAGATTAGGAATAAATGTATTGAACTTTAGAATATTTATCATTTATTTAATTAACTAATTGGTAAACTTTAGTGAGAATCTTAACTCTTGGTTAAATAGAAAACTGTTTTTTTTTTTTTTTTAATAATAACTTCTGAATTCTTGCTAATTTGGTTTGAGTTTGTAACGTTAGAAATGTTTGTTAATCTTTAAAACAAATTTTATGTCTCCGTTCTCTTATTTTAATCACCAACCTTTGAAATATTTTGAGATACAAAGGTTTATCGGTTTATCCGATAAGTAATGTCGGAACTTTTAATAAAGGCTGGTGGTACTTTCAAAAGTCCCTAGGTAATATTGAAAATTAATTATTCTTTTCCGAGACTTTTCGAGACTAGTCTTCTTTTTTTTTTTTTTTTTTATGTTTTCTTTTTTTTCAGATCGTAAAAAGATTGTAAAAAAGTTCCCTAGGCTTGTAGTTTTAAATTTTGCGAAAAGTAAAGCATTACCTTAAAAAGTCGCGGAAAAAGAGTGATTAATTTTAAAAATCACCCAGAGACTTCTGGATTATCCCGTATTAAAAATTCTTTTATTAATCATTAGCAAACTAAATATTTTTTTTTTGCACGAACATAATATTTATTAACAAAAAAATAATCTCGAAAGAGATTAATTGATTTTTATAATCACCTAGGGACTTATAGCTTATCCTAGATTACAAATTTTGTCATTGGTTATCGGCCGAAAAAATATTTTATGAAATTAATTAAATATTAATAATAATAATAAAAAAAAAAACATTATATTATACAATATATTCAGTTACACTTGAGCATCGAATAAGCCTAATCGTGTTTCTATAATTTTCAATGCAACGTTAGTGTTTTGGGGGTAAATCAAACTGTAAAAAAAAAAAAAAAAATAAAAGTAAGAAAAATAAGATCAAAGTTTTTTCTCAAACGAAATAATCTCGTGGTAAAAAACACTCTTGCAATGAACCCTAGTCATTAATTTTTTGTGATTAGTAGAGAACGCCTGCGAATGATGGTGAAATCGAATTCGGTTGCCGATCAAATTTCTCGACAATTTTCTGCTCCCTCTTCTCTTCATCGATCGCGTAAATTAATTCCTTCTTGTCTATCCGATTGGTGGGCCAATAGAGACTCTTCTAGCTTGAATTAGACAGCCATCCCTCGTATATTCTGTCTTTCTCTCTCTCTCTCTCTCTCTCTCTCTAATATATATATATATATATACCTATATATATATATATATTGGATAAGAGAACCTAAACGACGTCCTCGATGTCAGAAACACCAATTTGCTCTCGAACATAAACGAGTGTAGCACGGATTTTTGTGTAACACGAATTTTTCGTATCCTTAATTTTCTTACCTTTTTTTCTTTTTTTTTTTTTATTCCAATTTTTACATTTGTATTATTATTTTTTAAATATTTCACAGAATTTGATGTAATTTTTTCAAATATAATTTTTACCGTGATCAGGATAATCGAAGTTGATCAAATTAATAGGAATAATAATAATTATATTTTACATATTATTTAATATATTATATACAAATTATTTAATTTTTCATAACGATTAAATCTTTGAAATTTCCAGGAGTCTACATGGGTAGTATTATAAATTATTTTAATCTAAAACCAAACGTATTTTCCCCAATATTAACACTCATACTTATTCATTTACTTCATTTCCACTTAATTTTTCATGACGATCAAAATCTTGAAATTAAATAGGAACGGTGCAAGGATTATGAATCATTCTAATCCAAAAACATGTATATTTTCTAAATCCCAATAGTTCTAACTTATCATTCACTTCATTTTCACTTCATTTTTTTTATAAAAATTAAACCAATGAAATTTCAAAGTGTATTGAAGGGATTATGAATTATTGTAATTCAAAAACCTTGCATTATACCGAATACCAACATATCTGTTTAACGTTCACTTTATTTCCACCTAATTTTTCACGATTATTTAATTCTTGAAATTTTTACGACTAGTGGGATAGGGGGAGGGGCTTGACAGGGAGAAGTAGGTAAAAAAAATCATGAAAAAAAGAAGACATGACACATTTGATGGTAGAAACAGCAACGGATAGGACTTGTCGTTCGGTTGGTAGGTGGAAAACGCTTAGCCCGATATTGATCGACCTCCTCTGCTTTCCTCCCACCTCCCCCTCCTCCTCCTCCTCCTCTTCTTCTTCCTCTACCTCGTCATTCATCTCCTCCATCCTTTTTCTCTTTTCCACACATCAAACCAATGAGTTTTTCGTGCCACGCTTTCGAATGCCGATGTATTTTCCATTAGCCCGATCTACATTTATATGCATGCATATATGCATACACGTTTGTGTGTGTACGCATATTGCGCGTGCGCGAACGCATTTATGTGTGTAGGTGCGTGGATCATAACCAAAACATTTTTAACACACACACACACACGGTGCACAACCTACGAAAGTTATTCTTTTCTATTATTGTTGTATTTCATGGTATTTTCTTTTTAACGTAGATATCCTGTTTTCTCATCATTTATATTAGAAAAAAAAAGGTAATCGTTTGGTTCATAAAATTGTCGATCTCGCAATCTTAAGTGTTCTTACTGTCGAGTTTAAATACTTTCGACAAAATTTACAATATATCATAAGTATTTTTTTTATAAATAATTATTTTATTAAGAAGTTTTTTTAATCTCGTAGATGTATATTTTATTATTAAAAAATTTCAATCATCGTAAATGGACATATTAAATTGATAAGCAAAACATTCTTATATTAGACTAATCCAAAGGTTTCTATAGATCATTTTAAAAATATTTATTTTCATATTCTCGAAATTTTGTAAGTCACTTATTCTTTTAAACTCATTTATTCATTCACTCATTAGTTTCTTTGCTCATTTGTTCATTTACCCATTCACTCATTTACTTATTTATTCATTTGCTTATTTTCTCATTTGCTCATTTGCTTATTTGCTCAATGCTCATTTCTGATTGTTCTTTGCTTTTTGCTAGAAGAGCATGTATTCTGTTTGATAAAAGTACACTGACAAAAAAAAAAAATAACATACTTCTGGCGTTTTTTGAATTTTTAAAAATTTTCTCTCCCAAAAAGCGTATAAAATATTATAATCTTATAGAAATACCGAAAGAAAAAAAAAAAAAATGTTAAAAATTAACATCTACGTTATTAAGTCTTGCAGTATTACAATTACGTACCTGCAGAAAAAGTATAGGAGAGAAAAATTGAGAGAGTAAAAGGAAGGGAAAAAGAGAAAAAGAGAGAGAGAGAGTGAAATAATAAAAGAATGATATAGCATAAGAGAAATTGAAAGAGTGAAAGAATGAGACAGATAGAGAAAGAGAAAGAGAGAGAATGAGAAAGAGAGAGAAATTCTTGTGATCTTTCTGATATCTCAGTTTCTCTCTTTTTTTTATTTCTCATCCAAGATTGTCCCTTTTTCCGTAGTGACAAATAAACGCTTAAATGAAACATTACTTACGGTAAATGAAGGGCCACCGAAGGATGAGAAAATTCTACGTGATTTGTTCGGATGCGACAAAGGAAGCGGGTCAATTCAGGACAAAGGATGGAGACTCAATCTTTTTCTTAAAGCCGCGATCATCGGTTCGGTTTTATGTTCTTTCAAACCTTTTGAAAATAAGGGTGAGAGAAAGATAGATATATATTTTACTTCTTTCTTCTTCTTCTTCTTCTTTTTCATTTTTTCTATTTACGTATCTATCCTACGATCCGGTGATATAATCGTTCAAACGATTGTGAAATATTATTAAATATATATATTTTTATACTGGTTATTATTATGAATTGTACGCAAAATAAATCTGCGATGAATAAAAATATATATAGTGTTGGGTTATTGTTAATAATAATCATTGTTTACAAATCAAAATTATTATTGTAATATTCACGATAATCATTCATAGATAAAATAGAAAATATACGTATGAAAATAACATAAACGTAGATATATATATATATATATATATGCATATATGTTCATATTTTATTATTTATTTTTTTTTTTTTTTAAATATTTTTGGGTTTTTTTTAAATTCATTTCTAACGTCATGAAAAGTAACTTCCTCAAATTTCATTTCTTATCGCGGCACTTTACGACGTCTTATAACCAAAATGCACGTCTCTCGTCATTTTCTTTTTTTCTCTTTTGTTCATACCCCGCACTAACTTTTCGTCTTTATTCGACAGATAGGAGAGAAATCTCTTCAATTTTGTTCGAAGCACGCGAATCTTATTCTCATGGGATAATTCTTCTTCACATCATAATTTTCTACTTCAATAAACCGAACGATATAGTTGACTCTCGTATAGTATGCATTCGTATGCAGAGGGTGTTTCAAAATATGCTAAAAGAATTTCAAGAACGAAAACGAGGACATTATCGGATTCACATATGATTTTGCGAATATTTATTTATTTTATTTTATTTTAACATACTGTAACCGTTTTTGTAATTATGCACACACGTATTTTAAAACGTCATGTATGTATGTATAATTTTTAAAA